AGGAGGAGGCGGAGGAGGAGAGAAGAAGACAAAAGGAGGAGGAAGGGGAGGAGGAGGAGGAAAGGAGGAGGAGGAGGAGGAGGAGGAGAGGAAGAAGAAGAAGCGGAAGGAAAGAGGTGGAGAAGGCTTCACGACGATGGCAACAGCAGCTTCACGGGCAGCGACGACGAGGAGGGCTTCTCAACAAGGCAGCTCGACGGAGACAACGATGGGAAGCTCGACGAAGACGGGCAGGCTTCACGACCGCAGCGACGATGGGCAGGCTACTAGTGACGAGGAGGGGGAGAAGAAAGGAGGAGGAGGCGGAGGGGGAGAAGAAAGGAGGAGGTTGAGGAGGAGAGAAGAAAAAAGGAGGAGGAGGAGGAGGAGGAGGAGGAGAGTAGGAAAGGAGGAGGAGGAGGAGGAGGAGAGTAGGAAAGGACGAGGAGGAGGAGGAGGAGAGGAGAAGAAGAATAGGAAAGGAGGAGGAGGAGGAGGAGGAGAGGAAGAAGAAGAAGAGGAAGGAAACAGGTGGAGGAGGCTTCACGACGATGGCAACAGCAGCTTCACGGGCAGCGACGACGAGGAGGGATTCTCGACGAGGCAGCTCGATGGAGACAACGATGGGCAGCTCGATGAAGACGGGCGGGCTTCACGACCGCAGCGACGACGGGCGGGCTACTAGCGACGATGGGCGGCTTCGCGATGGCACCGACGACGGGCTTCGCAACAGGGAATACCGCGTTCGAATTCGAACGCGGCATCGCAGCCCGCGAGAGGGGGAAACGATTTCTTGGCGGCTAATCTCAGCTCCCCTCAAACTACTTGTACATTGTCTTAGATTAAAAAAAAAAAAAATTACCTGGTGTTGCCGGAGGCTGGGGAGGCGACCAGTAGTCAAAAAAGGCCTCCCCCCCCCCTGCACGAAATTTCGCTGGCCTCGCCCGGCCCCAAACCGGGGGACCCAACCGGCCGGGCCGCCCAGGACCCCTGCCGGATGGTCCGGAGTTTAACACAGGTTAATTTCAGTGTTGGACCTGCCGACGGTAGGCGGCCCTTGACTGGTCGGCTGCCGACCCGCCGACCGATCGGCTGGTCGGCTGCCGACCTGCCGACCGATGGGCTGGTCGGCACCTACCTGTCGGGGGTCATCAGCACCCCGCACTTTTCTGTTTTTTTCTTGGGGGGGGGTCCAGAACCCCTAATAACACCACCAACACCCCCATAGCGGCACCCAATACCCCCATACACCAACCCAAACCCCCCAAACCTCCCCCAACACCCTTATTAAACCCCCCAATATCCCCTATATCACACCTATACTCCCCCTATACTACAACCCATACCTGCACTGGCTCTAAGGGCCTTGCTCCACTCGTCACTACTTGCACAAAAGACAAACCATATGGCGGTAGGGCCTTGCTCCACTCATCACCACTTGCACAAAAGACAAAACATACGGCGTCGTACAGTTCCATGTTCTAGCAGAAGATTCATTCTAGATTTGCACATTTGGTGAGTAGTGGAGGGAAGCCCTGAAAAGCAAGCTTTGAGTTGGCCTGCTACTGCCCAGAAACTCGCGTGCTCAGTGGTCCCATAACTGCTGAAATCAACAGGATATATGCTTGGCGTGCCACGACTCTAGCATGGCTATGGGCAATACCTCGTTCATGGTGAGATGCCCCTTGCTAATTATGTGCAGGGGCCTCTCGGATACCCCGCAGGGGTTTTCAAATAAATGCTGAGGAGCTATTTCTTTGCTCTCTCTCTCTCTCTCTCTCTCTCTCTCTCTCTCTCTCTCTCTCTCTCTCTCTCTCTCTCTCTCTCTCTCTCTCT